ATATATATATATATATATATTCAAATATAAGTAAAACAATTGACTCCATCCTCAATCCATGGTTTAAAAATCTGTACAATTTCTGATGTTCTGATTTTTTGTAAAGAAGTTGAAAAAATATATTGTGTTTTTTCTACTTAGTTATTCTTTATTGAAATTTGTAATAAAAGTCTTAAAAGTTGTTGGTTTACAACAAACAAGCAAAAAAAGACCCTATTTATCTAAATGCTGTTGTCAAAGATCAACATAGCTATAAAGCGATACAGCCATAATACATTATTTTCCCAATAACAGATGATAATATCAATACCCATTTTCCTTTGAGCATTTTGTCTGCTTATTTCAAAGTTTATCCTCTGAAAAGATATATTTTGCCTTCAGTATGTAGCCTTTGTTTACTGTTTGGCTGTGGAAAACTGGATAGAGATGAAAAATTCTCAAATCTCCTCATCAATATTGATTAATTCTAGATGTCATTAGTAAACTGCAGGACTTTCAGTTCTCGAAAAAGTTTGTGTAGTTTAAATTTTGTACAACTTAATTCAATATTTTTAATACAGATTTTAAATAGAACCACAGGTATGGAAACTATTCAACTATTCCACACAAGAAGCTGCATTTGCATAAAAGTTAAAATATGGTGTTGAGTGCAAGTAAAAAAAGATAAAGAAGGTGATATGTTATAAATACCAATTAGTAAAGGCAGTATGTATAAAAGGAGATGATATTTTAAGAAGAGAAGTTATAGTAACTAAAAGGCTGGGACATGCTTATGTTGAGAGCAACGACTGAAACTACGGTAAATCAATAAATAAACAAACTGAAGTAAAAAAAATGTAAGATTAATTCAGAGAATAAAATTTAATCAATTCAGACGAACAAGAAGATTTTCCTCAATTTGAATTACATGTTATTTTTCAACCATTATTGACAGTTATTGCAAAAGTGTTTATAAAACATTCCGCATTCCTTTAAAGGATTTATGTTATCCACAGACACAGTTTTGCACATGATTTCAAATGTGAAAAATGTTTTTTTACAGATAAAAAAATCAACAGTGTTGTAAAAAACATTTCAGTCTAAATAGATTTAAAGTTTTTTCTCTGCAAGCTTTTCTCCTCTAATTTTTTCTTTATTTTAAGTCAAGCCAGATTGAATGGAAAGCATCTATTTAAACTGATTTTTATCCCTTCAATTGTGATAAAAAAAAACATATTTTTAACTGGACCGGCTTCCTATCGGTTGGATGTAGGTTTTTAAGTGATTGTCTTTATGCACCTGTGCTCGGTCACACCTAAAATAAAAGGCTAAATTACCTGCTTGGCATGGCTTCAAGTTAATCAGAGGTCTAGCTGTTAACCATTTTTTCATTTTAAGTTTGTTGCATCAGCAATGGCTTCAAAAGCTGCAGGAAACTTGCACTGAAGGACTCTTGGGTCCTATGTTTAGGGGTTTTTGTCTGCTGGGAGGTAT